ATATCAGTATCAAAGGACTGATAAGAGGAGAAAGGCCAGCCAGAAAGTAAATTACAGCTTTGAATAATTGCTGTTTAAAACTACTGAATTGTAATCATTCATTACAATTACCAATTATTTTCAGCCATGAGCCACAATTACTTGAACAGAATAAACTAAAGTAGCACAATTTATAGGTTGTTTCTAAAAACAGCCTTAAAGTTTTGGATCCTCATTACAACCTTCCTAGATAAAAGTGAGTGAAATTAACCTGATTCTTGAATATTCCCATGCTACACATGGCTCTGTTTTTTGGCTCATGTACTAGTAGGACTGAAGATTGTTACTTCTGAAATACAGCTGTAAAGATCAAAAGTGAGTATACGAGTTCTGAACCAATTTCAGAACCATCTGATGGACCTACAATAGCCAGAGAAAAAAGGGATTGGAAGAGTACAAAACAGATAGCATAATAATCTTGTACTTTCCCTTACACTTTATTTGCACATGCATGCACTACTTTCCCCTGCCTTCCTCTTGCCCCCCCCCAAAGTCCTTTATCCCTGGTATATTGGCCAAACCACATAGGGTAAGTATCTTGTTGAGTCCTGAAGGTGAAGGTCTTTTTTTACTCCATTACAGCATACGTCTGAGTTTGAGAGTACACTGAAGCTTATTTCTTTCAGAAATTCAGTCAACTTTAAGGCGTAAGAGGAGCATTTGGACTAAGTAATATACAATTCAAAAGTGGTATTTATTGGTTGAAATCCTTTCCTGAAAAATATCCGAGGCCTGGGTTCTCGACCCAAAGGCAAAATGAGATCTAATATACTTAGGCTGGAATTTAACCAGTCACAAAGGTAAAACTATACCTATCAAGTCAATTCTTAGCACTTTATTCTTGAGAACTGGCCTGGAAAAACATATTTTATGGTCACATTTTAATTCATTTGTCACTTATGAAAAACAACTCATGACATTCTTAAGGAAACAAAATTTGAGTTCACTTACTTGAAAACTAGGTTGTACAAAACAGGACTTTTCTCTTATTGTCCTTCAGCTCCAAGAAACACCTGCTCAAACTTAGAAGAAAGAAAGAATACATTTTGAGGTTGGATGCCTCTTTTGTGTTGTAGGTCAGTTAGCTCACAGGAAGTATTACGTTGTCTTTTAAGTACTGGGAAGATTTACAAATACTATTTGCTTTGAACCACTGAAATGCATGTTTTATATTTCAGATGACTTAGAAAAATCCTGTTGTTGGCAGACTCTAAAGAAATACTTAACGCAACTGTGCTCCTAAGAAATATATAAAGGAACGCTGAAGCATGTCATTCATAACACACCCTCTATTCCAGACCTAAAAAATAATTCAGAAAGAAGTGTGTTCGTGTTCTCATTTAGAGTACAGATATGCAACTCTGCAGGATTCAGAGATTAATGATAAATAAAAAGACCAGCTAACTTAATACCACCTTTTCCAGAGTTTTATTAATAATAATCCTGCTATAAATGTACATTAGAACTCATAATGATGCTCACCAGATGTCTTTTTGCTGGTCAGAAAAGAAAACGCTAACTCAAAAAAATTTTTTGCAGTAAAAGCAACATGTAAAATAAAATAGCCACAAAGAGCATAGAAGAAAAATTGCATAGCAAAGGGGGGGAAGCAATTAACTTGAAAAATGTACAACTGAAAATTAAAACATAGTTTGGCTAAGTTTTCTGCTTGGTAACTGTAATTAAAGAGGACTGCTTGTCTTACTGAAGCAATAAAAAAAAATGTTGTCTGCTTAGCAAATGACCTCTAACTTGCAAAAATATACAGTTCTGAGTGAAAATGAAATAATAGTTTGGAAGAAATTAAATTTATTCCAATTTCTACCTTTTGTATGCATCCTTCTGCATTCTTGAGTCTTTGAATCACTTTGAAGCGCACTGACAAAACATTTGCCCAGAATACTCACTGTATCATCTTGTACGCTATGTGTTATAGCATAAAAGCTATAATCAAAAACTGACTTTGCAGGGTGATGTCAAGACAGGCTGCAGGTTTCCCAATTTCTGTGGATCCAGTATTTTCACTTCCCTATAGTTAAGGTATTAATGAACTATTAAGAAACATTTCTGCTCTGAAGCTGAAGAAGCAGCTGTAGGATCTCAAGCTGCTCTGGCCTTCGTTTATAGTAATGCTTTTTTTTAACCCAAGTTTGGCAAAAGTATTGGTCTGATTAGTAATACTTCCATGACATTTCATTTATAAAAAGTTGTGAGGAAGGGTATTTTTCTGCACATTCTGAACAGGCACATGAGGATCTGGCTTTGGAGCTAGTACTATACAAGAGCCCCAAGAACCTAGTGCAATTCTTTTTGTGTGGATGTAACTCCAGACTTAGCCAAAGAGCTTCGTTCTGATGGCAGTGAGGCTTGGCTTCAGATACTGAAGGAGAACATCATGACAATGCTGAAGCATACATATTTGACATAGATGAGGTTTTCAGCCCAGAAAGATGAGACAGAGAAGAGTAAAACCTTGCTTTTAAGCCATGTTTTGTGCCTTCTCAGGCTGTCACATCCCAGGATCCTTTAATGTTCAGGAGTTTATGCAAATCCAACAGTGTGTATTAAGACAGTATGAGGTATAATATATGTATAATGTGGCCCCATGTCCGATTTCAATAATCTGGCCTAACCTGTGTAGTAGAGTGCCTAATATTGCAATCCTTCTGCCACAAGAACCGTTATTCAATATATCTTACTAGATGTCTTTTTGAGTGTATATACTCAAATTTTGAGTTTATATTACTTAATACTAATTATAATTATGTTATGATAGATATATTTAATATATATTGTTGCATTGTTATTATTTTTCCTTAAACTCTTTGTGTATAAAACTCAAATGTGGAATTGAAGCTGAGACATTTTTGGAACTTCCAAGAGCGATTAAATGTGACTGCTCGTTTGGAGTTGAAAGTAATGCAGTAGAAAGTCTTTTGGCTAAGAATACAACAAATTTTGATTACAGATAAGTGCATATTATCTTCTCTTCAACTGTCAGGCTAGCAGTAGGCTAAGGCATCATCAGTAAGTATTGCTGGCAATAAGTTAGAATTTGGAAACTTACATTTCCAAAAATACTGCATAGAGTTTCTCTCAAAGAAATATTTCAATATGAAAGTTTCATCCTTTCCTCATTTGAAGTTTTATTCTATTCTATTATTGATTGTTTTTACATTTTCACATTGTATATATTTTTATTTCTGAAGTATTGTATAGCTTACATAATGTTGTCAGAGTACACGTTTATCATGAATTTAAAAAATTATTGAATATGCTACATTATGTTGCTCCTGAAGACTTAAATAGTATCTGGGGTTTATGTTTTTCAAATTTACCCAACCATAAAATGAAATTACCATGTGTATATTGAAAAGACTACTTCTTATATTATCTTTAATATCTAGCTTGTCAATGGTATCTAAATTGTGCTTTATTCATGCAGAGATTTTTCATATAATGAGCAGTCATTGTGCACACTATTAGTCTACAGTCTATTAGTCCACAGAGATAATTCCAAGGAACTCCATTCTTAAATGTGACAAATTGCTTGAACACTTAATGGAGAACAGTTCTGTACTGATAAGAGAGGATGGATGGAGTTGCACCAGAGTATGTTCTCTCTTCTGTTCTGTGATTCATTACTGGGTAAAATGAGTTGCCCTCGAGTCTTTTTTGGCCTGTGGTACCAGCTGTAATCCAATTCAAAATATTTTTGTGGTCTCAGGTCAATACATTACTCAAAGGAAACTGAATTTTAGCAGAGACTTTGGGATCTTACTGCTTGTGGTTGTGGTAATATATTGGGGGGGCAGAAATGGGAGTGATTGTTTCTTATGGAGCAGTAGTTATCTAGAGAAATAATTTGAAAATCATATATTGATTTTGAAAATTAGGAGGAGTTGTTTGAAATTGTATAAAAGTCAGTTGGTCTACTTTTTCTACAAAAATTAAAATGTTTATGTATACGTAGTTGTGCATGTTCATGTAGCTACAAGTAATTCTTAGCTAAGATTTTCAAAACCTCTTCTTACATATATTTTTTATGACTGTGTTATGGTCAGTTATGTATTTCTCTGATACTGCTAAAATTCATGTTCTGTCCTACCTTTGTGCATGCTGGAGGCTTTCATGATCATTGCTGATGACCAAAGAATAATTCTTCCTCTTCTGACTTCTATAACACTAATTCTTAAAAAGCTTATTTAAAGTCTGCATGGGGCAAATGCTCCAACTTTGCATATCAGCCTTGGAGGATATTGCAGGGGTAGGGGAGATGCTTTTTAAGGTGTCTCAGAATTGCTGGTTTAAGATTGCTGTACTCTTTGAGTATACGTTGTCTTACTTGGACAACTTTTATTCACTAGACAAGGTTTAAGAGTGAAAGAATGTTTACTTAAAAACCTGGACTTAAAATGAAGCTGTGCCAAAAAAAAAAAGAGAAAAGCTACACTATCAAAATAAAAATGAAATTATTAAAACTATACCTTACAATAAATATACTCTTGTTTCTGCAGCATCTCAGCCAGTTTCTGCCTTTCTTTTGGAAGAAAATGGAATAATTTTAAATTACAGGTTTTCTTTGTTGAAGGTTAGCTGCCTTTTTCTTTCCATCTGATCAGAAGGAAAAGGCAGGAGACAAATACTATCCTTTTTCCTGTGGCATCCCAGACTGAAAATCCTTTGCTTTTTGTTTTTACTAATGAAAACTTGCATTCCTGTCTTCTGCTATATTGGATGCTTTGATACCACACATGATGAAGGGGTTTCCTTTCTTCCTTGTCCTCAAAGTTTAATATTTCTAGTATATGTATTAATTAGTACAGTCTTTTTCCCAGGTGATACTGTAATTATGAAGTAGTTTAGTCCTTTTAATGGAACAGTTTCTAATTTAAGGGTTTTTTTCAAAGGGGAAAACTTTTCAGATTTTTTATGTTTTCTTGTCTTTTCCACATCTCTAGCCAACAAGGACACTGGTTATGACGAGTATGTCTTCTGAGTAAGTATTAAACATTTTGAATCTTTAGTCAGCCCACTGCTTAAACTTGAATGTTGATAATCTTTTTATGCCTATACAAAATGAAATTTATCTTTGGGCCGTATGTTAAAATACTTTATTTCTTTCTGTATTCTAGCTAGAGACATGTACATATATGTATACGTCGTTGCTATCTACAGTGTATGTTTGTGTTGCTATGGTGCAGACTGAAATAGTTGTTCCATAGGTGAGCTCAGCAGGGCTTCAGAGCAATGAAACTAAAATCTTTTGAAAATTTTTTTAATTTTTCTGAAGGAAGCATAAAAAGGAATTTTATGTAGTAAATGGTTCAGACTTTCCACCCAAGACTTAGCTTTTTCCCCCTACATTTTAGTTATTTCTATTTTAAAAGTCATAATCTGAAACATCAGTTCAAAATGTTTTCTTTCATATAAATAGTTGCTGAAGAAATATCAGTTGTAGGCTTTTTAGCCACTTAGCTTCAAAACATTAGAAGCAGCTGCCACTGCATATTTTGGGGGAGAGTTAATAATTTTCTGGCATGCTCTTATCGTTCTCTTAAAAGTCTTACAGCATAAAGAACATCCAACAAAAACACAATTCCATATTTTATACTACACTTGCTTACAGTTTTTTGAATTCTTTTTCAAAACTCAAGATATTTCTACTACCCACAAATCTGTTTCAGGTTTGAAGTAATTAAGTCTTGACAGTTACATAGATACAAGTACTCAAAAACAGCACTTAGTGACTATCCTTTTAAAAGTTCTTTGAAAATGGTTGTCAATAACTATTAGCAAGTATACTAATATATGTCAGAAACATAAAATGGAATTAATACTTTTCTTGTATTTAACATGACTGGGTGCTAGTAACACCAAATGTGACTGGATGCTAGTAACACCAAGACTCTAAAATGCACTTTGCAAGTCATGCAATACAGGATCACTGTGGGGGAGGTAGAGATAATAGCTACAGTGCAGATAGGAGTAGTGGAAAACTGAGGCTGTGATCTGCCTAAAAGAAGAGAACAAATCCTGGCAGAGCTGGGGAAGAAGTTCTTTTGTTGAAAGAGGTCATAAATACATTATTTCTTTTATGTTGCTTGTATGTCGATTTTTCCCACTAGCCAATTACTATTTCATTAAATAAAAATGTCTGGTGATAACAATTGCTTTTCTTCAGAACTTCGTCATCAAGATTGTGCTTTTGGCTGTCTACAGTTGTAGGCATTCATCAACCTGTAAACGAAGGGAAGGGAAAGGAACTGCTTCTGAAAGAAGTAAATAACAGAAAACAGTCCTCCAAAGTGTACAACCCAATGGCCAAAAGCCAATTCTACTACCCAATACCTACAGCTTCAAAAGTGGTTCATTAGAATTTAAATTCAAAGATCATGAGTTCAGTGGTTTTATGGCATCAGGTTTTGAGCTTATACTAAATGCTGCTTGCTGATTCACTGCCAGCAGCTACCTGTTTTTCTGAATCACAAATTCAGTGAAATTTTGCTGTAAATTTGCATCTGGCAGTTTTTGCAGCTGACTGAAGTATAAACTAGTGAGTTTTCATTGTAATTTATAAGATATCTTAGATTCAATTCTTGGACAGTAGGACTTTTGCCTCTCATTGTAAGGAATTTTGTGTAGACACAAGAAAGAAGAAAAGCTTCAGGTAGAGCACAGAAATGCATACCCTGAGCACACAGTCTCAGCAGAGCCAGCCCCTATGAGTTGCAATGTTGCAAAAACATTCTCTTGTAGGCTACGTCCAGTTAAAACTCATCAAATGAAAAGGGAATAGTAAATACTCCAGTATCATTCAAGGCAATATAGCCAAGTCCAGAATTCACACTACCCGGTGTCTGCAGTGAGGCAGTTAAGTCTGGGGTGGGCTTTTTTTGTTTGTTTGGTTTTTTTAAGTGTCTCCACATACAATATCACCTTTTGACTTAAGTGTGAAGTTAATTTGCTACACTGTTTGCTGTTACTATTCATTTATTTGTTTGAAACTTCTTAAAAAAATAGATTGTTGCATTCTCTGTGAAGAATTTTTGCAGGTTTTGTTAGAGTTCCTCTAAATAGTGTCTGCTTTAGCTGGGGTATTTGGGGAGATTTAACTGAGTTACTTTCTGTGGAGTGGAATGTAGTGAGAATGAAAGTAACCCCAGAGGCTTCTGGAGATGTTCTGAGTGTGCTCACATTATGTCAGTGATTAACTTAAATGTTTTACCTGAGAGGATCACCATTGTGATAGTTGTGACTGTGTTCCAGGTTGTGCCTAATTGTTTTATCTTGTGTAGCATGCCATGGACATTTCCAAGTCAGCTGAGGGGAGCAGAGAGGGCACTGGAACTGGGCTTTCGTTTACAAATCTTTAATGATCATTTGTAATAATGATTTATAATAGTAATCATTAATAAGAACAGTAAATTGTTCTCATGCAACAGCTTTTCTCTAGTAATATCAAGATCTCACTGTTTTCAGGATTATATATTTGTGTGCTTCAGTGTAGCTATGTAGAGAACTCAACTTAGAATTCCAGTTACAGGTGGCCATTCTGGATTTTATATTTAATTATAATTGCATTTAAGGATAAGTGAATTTTTAATTGAAACATTGGCTCAGATGTATAGGTAGCAAGCCACAACTTTAGGACTTCCCTCTAAATTTAGACACAGCATTTTATTCAGATGCTGAAAATCTGGTGCTTCCTAATGAAAACCTCTCAAGAGTGCTGTGTCTAAATGTTTGCATTTCCTGGTAATACTTTTTTGATAGTACTACAAACACAACCAAGAATGAGGCTCTGTTGTACTAGGCATTGTACTCAAACAATATGTTAGATAATTCCTGACTCAAAAGCTTTTATTTAAACAGACAAGATAGATATAGGGGACAAAAGAGCTTTGATGTGCAAGTAGATATGATTGTGTGATGACAGAAAAGGGTCTGTTTGGACTCTGTGGGAAGGCTAATGAATTTAGGGCTAGCAGATGGGTAGAGGCTCAGTGAGAAAAGGATAAGAAATTATTAGTGAAGAAAGAAATTAGGGGAGTTTGAGTTAATTTGTGTTATGTGTATATGCTTTTATAATTCTTCATATCCATTTAACATTGTATGGTTTTTTTTTCCTTTTCTTCTTTTTAGGAAACAAAATACAGTAATTCAGGTGGTGAATAAACTTGGAGACTTTTTGTTCTCAGATGATGTATGTGAAACAACAAGTCATGTAGTTACAGGGAGTCCTCGTCGTACCTTGAATGTTATGCTGGGAATTGCTCGTGGGTGTTGGATTGTTTCTTATGAGTGGGTAAGAAATATTTTTAAATTTTACTACAGAATAAATTTTGTATATTTTGTATAGCTGAAATATCAACCATATAACAATGTTTGTGTCCATGCTATGTACAGTGGTGCGATGTTCAGATATTCAGGCTTACCTAGAGTTAGCTCAATTAGAGGAAATTTGTCTATGTGAAGCTCTGTTACCATGACTTAGTCTTTCAGTACTTCATCTAACCAAAGTATTCCTGTATTGTACCTCAGTGTGTATTTTAGAAATGCCTGAAGTCTTATCTCATGGATGAGAAACTCATGTCACATGCGTTATTTTTTGATAGATTAAAGGCTAAAGAAACCATTTCTGCTCAACATTAGCTAACTCGCATTATTCAGATTGAATTTTTTATATATTGATTTAATATATTTCTACTGTGTTCCGAAACATGTATTGTGTTCAGCATTGGTAAAATGAAGGGGAATTGTTAGATATTTTCTGCATAGTGGGAAAACTGTAAAATAGAAAAAAAATTAAGGAAAGCTATTTGTAGATGAATAGTTTGCAGACTTTGTAATTTACAGAAATCATTCCCAGACATCCAGATCAAATAATCACTGTATATCCTCAAAATTTCTTGTGGACTACCAGACTGTTACTGTAAAGACAAGATAATAATGAATTGCTGTATTGGGTCCAGCTGGGATGGAGTTAATTTTCTTCATCGTAGCTGTATGGTGCTTAGTTTTAGACTGGTGACCAAAACGGTGGTGATAACCCACCAGTGTTTTAGCTATTGTTCAACAGTGCTTACACGGCGTCAAAGTGTTCTCTGTTTTTTGGTCAGCCCCCCCAGGCTGGGGGTGCACAAAAAGTTGGGAGGGGACTCAGCTGGGACAGCAGACCCCAACTGATCAAAGGGATATTCCATACCATATGACATCACACTCATATGGGTTTTTCCAAAGCAGCCATTGCTCGGAGACTGGCTGGGCATCCATCTGCTGGTGGGAATGATTACTTTTACATAATTTGGTTTTTTTTAAACTTTTTTTTCCCCTTCACTTATTAACTGTCTTTACCTTAACCCACAAGGTGTTTTTTTTTCTTGCTTTCGCTCTTCCAATTCTCTCCCCGACCCTGCTGGGGTGGAAAGTGAGTAGTGACCGGGTAAGGAGCTTACCTGTCAGCCCAGGGTTAAACCACCTCAATTGCTCACTGTGATAATAGAGATTAACCATTCAATCTGACATTGCAGATGACAGTTTTTCAGCTTTCCTCATGTTTCCAGAGCTATAAAACATAGCTGTTGGAATTTATATGGAAATAGCTCTTCATCTTACACAGAAAAGAGTTGTACAATAACTTTAAATTTCTTGGTTTCCTTTTTCTTATAAATACTTTAAAATGTAGTTGTTGGGCTGAAAACAAAATAAACTTCTGTTGCGTTTTTGCTTTCAAGATGTCTGGCACTTACAGTGTGAAGCTTGTCCTACATGATATACATGTAGTTATCTGAAGAAGCTGTTATTGTATACTTTGGAGTTTTCAGAAGTTCTTGGTGATTAATTTTCCTTGGAATAAAGGGGTTTGCATCTTCGGTCACCTTAACGATCCAGTAATGTGCCTTTGTGGCAAAAAAGACCAATAGCATCCTTGGCTGCATTAAAAGGAACATATTTGAGCAGAGGGTTTGGACAAGACAATCTCCACAGGTCCATTCCAGCCTCAACTATTACATGATTCTATGCATCTATGAATGAAATACATTGAAATAGCTGTCCCACACATAGCTTTGTATGGAGTTTTCAACAAGTAACAACATATTTGCTATAAGTTATTTTCTCATAACGGGGTAGTCAAACATGAAAGCTTGTATTTCCTTGAGAAAAAGCTTCAAATAACTACTAAGATAGATGAAGATGTAGATAACTACTACAAAAATTCAGTAAAATAGTTTCATATTGTTGTGGTTTTACCCGGCAGGCAGCCAAACACCACACAGGTGCTCTCTCATTCCCCTCCCCGGCCCGTGGAATGGGGGGGAGAATGGGAAAAAAAAAGTAAAATTAATGGATT